TCTCTGTCTCGGTCTTCTCTGTCTCGGTCTTCTCTGTCTCGGTCTTCTCTGTCTCTGTCTTCGCTGTCTCTGTCTCTCTCTCTCTCTCTCTCTCTGTTTGAGACTTCCTGACTGCTACGTCGCCACATCTGGAGGAAGTCGTAGCCCATCTAGAGGCTATGTTTCCCATATCTGAGACCTAGGTCGGGTCATCTTGCGGCTACGTGTGCCATATCTGAGACTATGTTGGGTCCTCTTGAGGGCCTCTGTCAGATCATCTTGGAGCACATGTTCCGCCTTTGCTCTTAGCGCGCGCCCGACACCCACGAAATGTCGATTAAGCTTGTCCGCGCGGCACGCATAACCGACACCACGGGCGCCCTTTTAGGCACGCCGAAGGCCACAAAACACTGTAAAAACCGATGTTTTTCAACATCCTGCGCAAGATACATATAAATCTGTCGACCAGATTTGGGCGGGGGTCGACACGGGGTCGGGCGGAGGTATCCCCGCGGTCGAACAAAAGGGTCGGCGGCAGGGGCGGCGAGCGTATATAACCTTCGGTTACCAACCGAAGGCCTCCGGCAAGGGAACGTGCGCGTGGCCGGCGCCCGGATTGTAAGGGCTCCGCCCGGGTGCCGCCGACCCCTATTTTAATGGTGCCCGCCACAAATCTTGCCGTGTCCACACGTCTAACGCGCACAAAGGACTGCGCCTGCCACGAAATGTCACCTGCGTCACACCTCGCAACCTCACGAGTCCTTGCGCCTGCCACGAAAATTGTACTTCCACACCTTCTGCGCCTGCCACGAAAAGTGACAATATCATCTCCCTTGAAAACATAGTCGTTAAGAAAAATAGGGAACCAACCAAAGGCTGGAACAATGCCATCACTGCCGTAAAGTCGCTATATTTTGTTTTGTGAACATTGGCATTCATGTGCCGAATGGTTCTGGAAAGGTCATTTGTTCACCACGCGCCCACACGTCTAACGCGCACAAAGTACTGCGCCTGCCACGAAATGTGACCTCCGTCACACCTCGCAACCTCACGAGTCCTTGCGCCTGCCACGAAAATCGCGCTTCCACACCTCAGAAGCCGCACCTGCGCCTGCCACGAAAAGTGACAATATCAACTCCCTGGAAAACATAGTCGTTAAGAAAAATAGGGAACCAACCAAAGTCTGGAGCAATGCCATCACTGCCGTAAAGTCGCTATATTTTGTTTTGTGAACATTGGCATTCATGTGCCGAATGGTTCTGGAAAGGTCATTTGTTCACCACGCGCCCACACGTCTAACGCGCACAAAGTACTGCGCCTGCCACGAAATGTGACCTCCGTCACACCTCGCAACCTCACGAGTCCTTGCGCCTGCCACGAAAATCGCGCTTCCACACCTCAGAAGCCGCACCTGCGCCTGCCACGAAAAGTGACAATATCAACTCCCTGGAAAACATAGTCGTTAAGAAAAATAGGGAACCAACCAAAGTCTGGAGCAATGCCATCACTGCCGTAAAGTCGCTATATTTTGTTTTGTGAACATTGGCATTCATGTGCCGAATGGTTCTGGAAAGGTCATTTGTTCACCACGCGTCCACACGTCTAACGCGCACAAAGTACTGCGCCTGCCACGAAATGTCACCTCCGTCACACCAACCTCACGAGTCCTTGCGCCTGCCACGAAAATCGCTAAAACAGTTGCCTCGCATTCCCAGAGGCAGAGCCCAGGCAAGGCTGCGGTGCAGGAGTGGGCCAGAGGCTCCGGGAAGGGTTTGAGGCCTGGCAAACGACACACCTGCACCGGCTTTGCCAGGCAAGGCTGCTGTGCCTTACTAGGCCAAAGGTGCTGGGAGGCCTTTGAAGGGGAGGTGCAAGGCTGCGGTGCAGGAGTGGGCCAGAGGCTCCGGGAAGAGTTGGAGGCGTGGCAAACGACACAATCTATTTCCACCAAAAACTGGTCCAAAACAGGCCTCGACTGTTCGCACTTTCGGTGCCAAGCTTCCTAGAAAAGAAATGGTTTTTATCCATGTCCTCGCCCATCCTGACCCTAGAAAAGAACTGGTTTTCATCGTTCTCGCCCATCCTGACCCTATGAACCGGCCTCAAACCCTTCCCGGAGCCTGTGGCCCACTCCTGCACGGCAGCCTTGCCTGGGCTCTGCCTCTGGCAATGCGAGGCAACTGTTTTATGGGCTCCCGAAGGCGACGTGCCAGGTGACGTCAGGCATTTTGGTTGGCCCCACCTCCCCTTCAAAAGCCTCCCAGTCGAGGCCCATTTTGGAGCAGTTTTTGAAGGGGAGGTGGGGCGGTGCTGAAGGGGAGGTGGGGCCAACCAAAATGCTTGACGTCACCTGGCGCGTCACCTTCGGGAGCCCATAAAAAAGTTGCCTCGCATTGCCAGAGGCTCCCTCGAGAGTGACCTGCACCGGCTCTGCCAGGCAAGGCTGCTGTGCCTTACTAGGCCAAAGGTGCTGAGGCCTTTGAAGGAGAGGTGCAGCCATGCCTTATGCTGGAGGCAAAAAAGCGAACAGCCCACGGGGTGGCAGCTCGACCAGGACATGAACCGCCCACGGCTTGATGGTAGTGCCAGGACATGAAAGCAGAGGTAGAGAGGTCAATGCCAGGACTTGAAAGCAGAGGTCTGCCAATGCCAATGTTGCACCCTGCGGTGTCTCGGGCGCCTCCCCACCTAGGCTTCGGCTAGGCCGGGGTCGGCAGATTTCAGAAAATAGATGGCACTGGCACCCCGAGATGTTTTTACGAATATATGGGGGGTCCATATAACTTATAACCGACCTTGCGAGGTCCCGGCACGTGCCATCGAACCGCTAAACCGATGGACGGGGAAGGAAGTATGACAGGTGCGGGGACTCTGACGAACCCACCACGAGGACCACCCAGAGCAGGCACCTTCACCACCAACCAATGGCTCCTGATTGTGCAGAATGCATTCCTCAACCAAGCGAAACTAAGTGTTTTGATCAGTCCAGGCGCCGATGGGATTCTATGTCGTTCAGTCCAGTTCAGGCAACCACCAAGATCTTCCTTTGCCACAGCCTGTGCCAAAAAGTTGGTGGGCCAGAGTTGTTCAATGAAAATATATATAGCATTATATAGCTCAACATTATTTGTGTTCAACACCGGACCTTGGAATTCCAAGGTCTCGGATGGCTTTTTGCAAGCGTTTCTCTTCGGGTCCTATGGTTCACTCATTTCAGCGTGACACGCTACTGTTCCATTGTTTCCCGAATGGTTTTCATCATGGTTTCAACTCGCATGTTATCATATTTGGAGCTCAAGCACTTTCCATTGTTGATCGTGCAAGTTGATGTTTGTGATGTTTCGTGTCGCTTGGCACCATGGCTACCTTGGCCCTTGGCTCTTTCTTGTTTCCATCCGGACCGCAGAAAGAAAAAAACTAAGGGCACTCCCAGATGTCGTTCCATGCATGCCCCTGTATAGTGATTTTGAAACAGATAGTGGCACGGTTTCCAATAGATTTTCTACCTGGGGATCTACGAACTTCTGTTTACTTGGGGGTCTATATCTGGAAGCTGCCGCGATGGGCTGTCGCCGGTGTTTTTTTTCAGGTCCTTTTCCAGTCGGAACGCGCGGCTTGACGCGGCGGGTGACTGGAGGTATGCAGATCACCGCCCCGGTGATGACCTACATCGATGCATTGAATGCCTCTCTCTTGGAATGGGAGCGGAACATGAGCAAAGCAGCCAAGAAGAGGAGAGGGAAGAGGGGAGAGGGGCGGAGAGTGGAGATAGGTGAGGGGGAGGAAAGGGATGGAAAGAGAGGGGTAGGTGGTTGCACTCGCTTGCGATGTGCTGCGATGGAACAACAATCGGCTGCCACCGCCTGGAACAACAATCGGCTGTCACCGCCTGGAACAAAGCCTGGATTCATGGAGAGATGAGCAGGTGCGGGCTGGAATGGGTTCCAGTTAAAGCCGACTCCTGTCAGAAACACCTGATGCTAATTCAAGACGCTTCGCGTCGACAGCCGCCCACACCGCGCACGAACTGCCGAAGTTAGTGAAATGGAAGTAGCCATCTAGGCGCCAGGTTGGCTGTCTTACGGCTGCGTTGGAGCCATCTTGGGG